CATGCTCGATTCAAGATTCGGTTAATCTTTATGAGTGAAGTTCGAACATCTAATCTTAATTCAAGCTTGAATCAATCTTTACACAATATTCAGTTTATCTTTATTTATTACCGTGTTCACTTAATTAAATAATATTATAATAATTATAATTATAATAATTGTTTCAAATAATAATAATAATTAACATTAAGTTATCAATTGATAAATAAATATTTATATTTATTTAGTATAAATATATTATTATTTGTAACATTCATATTTAAAGAAAGTTAAATGGAAAATTTTTTTTATAAATGTTTTCAAAATTACTATAGATAATTAATAAATAATAATTAAAATGTGCAATAAATATTCCTGACACTGCATCATATTTAATAATTTTATTAATTATGTTAACTTTTAATATTAATTTAATTAATTATTATTTATTTGTTAATTAATTATTATAATTATTAATAATTATTGTTCAATTAATAAATATTATTATAATTAATAATAATTATAATATTTAACATTATAATTTATTATTATTCCAAATTATATTTATTTAAATAATATATTATTAATATATCTAATAATAAATGTTAATAATTTTGTTACTGAATAATAAAAAATATCAATTATTTATCGATGTTTATTATATTATGCATTAAATATTTTTAATTGTAAAATGTTTTAAAAGTTGAATTTTGTAATGATTACAATTTTATTATGAATTATTTAATATTCATTTTTAATAATTAAAATAATTTAGGATTAGTATGTGTAAAATTTTTAGTCATAGTTTTCACTTTGCCCTTATAAGTAACAAAGTATACGGCACTGGCATTAATATATTACATTAGTCCGAGGTCTCATCGAGACTTAGTGGCCGTGCGGTTTAAGTGGTTGCGTCAAGGACTTCCGGAATGCGTCTGGGGCGTGAGTTCGATCCCACATGCGAGCGGATTTTTTCATTATAAGCGTTAGGGGCCGTCCATAAATTACGTAAGTCACTTTTTTGGAAAATTTGACCACCACCCCCCTTTGTAGGATTTTTTACATACATTAGCGCCATTTTTTCTACGGTTCGTAAGATTTAGCAGACCCACCCCTCCCCCGAAAATGTCTTACGTAATTTATGGACGACCCCTTACATAAAATAATAAAATTACTATTTAATCTGTGTAATTAATAAGTGTTGTGAATAAAAACTTGTGAACTTGTTTGTAAATAATATTAAAAGTCTGTTAAAAATGAAGTTAAAAAATGTACAAATTGTCTTTTTTTGCTAATATTATTTTTCAATATTATTATGTTAAATGACATTTATTGTTAGTAATGTAATATTTATATGAAAATATTATAATTATTATAATAATAACTTATTGTCATTAAATATGTAAATACATATATATATATATTAATAACAATACTGTTTATTATTAATAATAATTAATATATTCACGTTATATTGAATGAACGCGTGAGAAGCGTGTAAATTTGGGAACAGTGGAAGCAGTCTTGTTCAGTCCTGCTTTCGGCTTCCGCAGCATTGATTGAAGATTGAACGCCAGTCTTCAACAAAGACTGAGCGTCAGGCTTACATCGATGTTACTATTCCGGACTCAAGCAGCCTTGCTTTCGCTGTCCCACCAATCTTTAACCAATACTGACCAACCCTCAATCAAGCTTCGTAAAGCCTGAACTCACTGTCAGCTCGCGCCTGGGTAGTGAGCCGCAACCAGAAACAAATCAACTTTGGAAATTTTCTTAAATTTCCAAAGTTGATTTGTACCAAATAGATACTAACTAAAATAAATAAATAAATAAATAGAAATAAATAATAAAAAATAAATAATAAATAATAAATAAATAATAAATAGATACCAACTAACACATTGACTTTTCCGACACAGACAAACCGCTATTATCCCAGTAACAAATGCCTTGTTACAAATTCACACCGAGAAAAATATCTTTCCAACAAGATAATTTTAAATTACTATAATTATGGAAATAATAAATAATTGATTATAGAAATTAATTTAATTTTATTATGTTACATATTATTTTTTTGTCTACAACACCTGGAAAACCGGGAAATGTCAAGGAATTTTTTTCATCATGACTTGAAATACTCTTGAACAATGTTTAAAGGCTTGCCATGAACATGTGGTCATGAACTTGTGGAGTGGATTCTGATATGAATGTTTTTAAATTATTAAGCAAGTCAGACTATTGCATTTATGGGATTTACCTTTACTGATTAATGAAAAACAATCATCACAGCGTTTATTTGCTGTTGTTTTGCTGTTAATTTCCCATAGGATCCTTCGGCAGCACATTTACCTACATAAAGCAATATATTTATAAAATTAAAATTATATGAAATATATTTATCTCCCTAAAAAAAGAGTAGTAGCCAATTATTATACCTTTAGAATTATTTTGAACCATTGTAGAGGCAATACCCTTAAGTGTTGAAGTTTTTCTGATTGAAAGATTGTCAGGAGTGTTCCGTGCCAATTGGCAAATTGAACATTCGCATAATAATTGATTCGATGACCTTGTGTTAATATTTTTATATTGAAAAAACGATAGATTTGGTGGTTCTAATAATTTTTGTTGAGTTTCCTTTGATTTATACAATTTATTTAAGCACGTACTACAAATTCCGTTTGGTAACCATTGGTCATCAGCTTTATAGACAAAAATAGCGTTAACCAAAGATTCAAGTTTTCCACCATTAATTATCTTTGTAATTTTGTTACTGCCACTGCAACCTTTCTTTTTGCAACAAAATATACATATTTTGCTACGATTTTCGTCGTGTGTACAAGCATGATCTTTTGGCATCGCGAGACTTATTAACAAAATGTCGATGTAAAAAAGTAAACACTGATTTGAAAAAATTGAAAATCGCGAGGTAAACATATTGATAAATTCTACATTATCGACTGTTAAACAAAAATAAAATAAAAAGGATATTTTAGTACTCTTTTTTAAAGTGAATTTAAAAAATATTTTTTTTTCATTAAAATTCAGAAAAATTTCATTGTTAACTTTCTTAGCATACGAAAAACAGATTATATTTTAAGAATACAGTATAATAAATAGCTATTTAAGTGAAGGAGATATTTATTTATCTATTTTATACAGTAGTTAATAGTGACTTATTCCATTACTTAAATCTACATACATAAATTTACTTTTTTCAAAAACGGCTCCGGCGATTATTTTAATTTTTCTTGAAAAATACTCGGAGAGGTCCCTAGTATTGAAATCAAGAGGAAAATCCCATTTCGCTTAACCTTTGATTTAAACTTGGTTCAAGCACACCGTGCAGGAAAACCTGGAAATGTCAGGCAAATTTTTTTTAGATTAGTTGTAGACACCTTGACGAAAAAGTTCAAAAAATGTTGACTGTAGTGTAGTCTAGTGGTTAGCGTTCTTGATTTGTGTATCAAGAAGCAAGTTTCGAATCTCGGCAAAGGTATAGGAGGCATTTCATTTCAAACCGTTTCACCGAAAACAACGATCGCAAGAAGAGCGATATTCTAATAAATTTTATTATATAAAAATTTAATTATTTGTAACATATTATACACTGATTTGAAAGAGAATTTCATGAACTTTGTATTGCTATTTTTATTTTTTTTAAATTTCTCTCAATTTCACAGAGAAAAACTGAACTCAAAATGAGTCGAAAAAGTGACTCATTATGAGGTGCAGCAAAAATGAACCTCGCAGATAGCGCCACGTTCTATGTCATTTAACATGGACTCATTTTGAGTTGCAACAAAAATGAGTCCAAGTTTCTTCTGTGTTCGTAGAGGAATATTCCTGTTTGAAAGGTCAAACTCTTAACATCTCAAAACACCCCTTCGTCGATTTTTATCAAAAATATATGAAAATAAAGCTTAACTTTTCTATTTTCCATTCCCGTATAATATATTATGGACATTTAATGGGATTATTGAAAAAAATTGTTTAAAATATGTGTTTTTGAAAAATTTGACAAATGGTACGAAGTTGAATCCTAACTAACCTTCAACTTCGTACCATTTTTCAAAAACACATTTTTTAATTAAATGTCCATAATATATTATACGGGAATGGAAACTAGAAAAGTTAAGCTTTATTTTCATATAATTTTGATAAAAATCGACGGGGGGTGTTTTGAGATATCTTAATATCTCAAAACACTTTTTGAAAGTTTAACCTTTCAAAAACAGGAATTTCTCTACGAAATTGAGAGAAATTTAAACAAATAAAAATAGCAATAGAAAGTTCATGAAATTCTCTTTCGAATTAGTGTATAATATGTTACAAATAATTAAATTTTTATATAATAAAATTTATAAGAATATCGCTCTCCTTGCGATTGTTTTTTTACAATAAAAAACAAAAATAAACCCAATTACAATAAAAAAATAATATAACAAAACTAAAAACACATTTACAATTATTTAAAAAAAACAAAAATAAAACTTATAATTACGATAAAAAATAGAACCAAAAATAAAAACTATTTCAATGAAAAATAAAACTCAATTACAATACAAAATATAAAACATTTAGAATAAAAAAACCAAAAATAAAACCCAAGTGTGGTAAAAAATAGAATAAAAAATAAAACTAATTTGTAATAAAAAATAAATAAAAATAAAAAGCAATTTCCAATGAAAAAAATAAAATCCAATTTACAATAAATAAAATAGAGCCAAAAAAATATTTTTCTCCGTGTGCATAAGAAAAGAAGGAAAACATAATTATTTTTTAACAGTAGTTCAGAAAATAGTATAAATCATCGCTTTCTTTTCCACAAAATGCAATAATACAGGAAGCCAGTTTCTCATTCCACAATGCAAACTAAATCGTCTAGTGGCGCAAGTGACAAATGTCATAGGAATAATATTCGGAGCAAGTGCATGACCTTGAAGCGATACAAATGCTCCTGGCAAAAGTGACCGGTCCGACTTCCAAGTATTCTTAAATACTGTGGTGGGGGTTTAGTGTTGAATTGCGAAGTCGATGAAAAGTGTGATCAATTAATTAATTAATTGACTTTCGCAATTCGTCGACACCGGTTCAACAACGGCTACGCTCTCACGTGCCGGCCGAGGACACGGAAGGTAGTTTTTCTTTTAAATTGAAACTTGTTTAAATTTTAGTATATTCTTTATTGTTTTATAAAATATTACTTTTTTTATGTGTTTAAAATAAAGTGTGGCCGTTTTTGACCATCAAATAATAAGGGAATAATAAGATGACGATTATGAATTCTATAAGTGGAATGTTGTGAAGACTTGGAAGTTGGGACTGATCGGAAAGCCTACATGCTCCTCAACAGGATGATTACTATTAATACTTTCTACTGTGTGGGTAACTCGTAAGTGCTCGATTTTATTTAAAGTGCTCCTGATAATTTCAGGTGCACAAATCTAATAAATGTCATCATATAAAAGGAAACAAAATATTATTCAAATGTATGTTCGATGGTTGAAGAAGAGAGAGTGAATCTAGTGGTGCAGCGAATTGCGGATTCTTGATTTTAATTGTTTTCGTTTCTCATTTATTGATTGTTGTTTCTATTATTGTATTTTTCCGTGAATGATTTCTTTATACATTTTAATTTGAATGTGCGTATGTTTTTAATTGATTTATATTTATTCTCATGTATTTTATATAAATTCCTGACGTCAGGCCCTTTTTTTATTTTGATTTTGACTTAAATATAATTTTTATTTCTTTCTGTAAATTGTTTGTATGTTTATTTATATCGTGTCTTTTGTATTGAGTCAAAACGCGTCAACCGTGAATACATTTTTTTTATAGTTTTGGAAAAGTCAAAACATTTATGAAAATCTGTAGTTCACAGCAAACCAAAAAAACACTTTTAACCGTTTTTCAAATTTTTAAATATTTATACCTTTTTTTATAATAAAAAATTTTTGCATTATTTTAGAAAAAAATTAATAACTCATTACTGTTTTGCTAGAAATTAATGGCAATTTTTTTGGTAGTCATTGAATATCCACTCTTTTAAATAAACTTAATGGTGAAAAAAATTTTTTAAAAATTTTTAATTTTTAATAACAATTTTATAAACAATTAGTGTTTTTTATGCTTTCTAGAGCAAGGATTTTAATGAAATTTATATGTAAGATACATTGAACCTACATCTTTATATTCCCGAAAAAAAAAATTTGTATTTCCAATTACAACCGGAGATTTTGAATTTTTTGTTGCGCCGTCATCGTGGCATCCATCGCTGTGATAAATGCCGCGGTAAACGAGCAGACGGCGCACGGCGCAACAAAAAATTCAAAATCTCCGGTTGTAATTGGAAATACAAATTTTTTTTTTCGGGAATATAAAGATGTAGGTTCAATGTATCTTACATATAAATTTCATTAAAATCCTTGCTCTAGAAAGCATAAAAAACACTAATTGTTTATAAAATTGTTATTAAAAATTAAAAATTAAAAAAAAATTTTTTTCACCATTAAGTTTATTTAAAAGAGTGGATATTCAATGACTACCAAAAAAATTGCCATTAATTTCTAGCAAAACAGTAATGAGTTATTAATTTTTTTCTAAAATAATGCAAATATCTCGGAAATATTCACTATTCACGGTTGACGCGTTTTGACTCTATTTTCAATGTCATTTAATTATTTTATTCATTTATTTGCAATCTTTTATTTTATCATTTTGTATATTTTTGTAATTTTTATTGTCGCGGTTTTTATTTATTTTACGAAATAAGAAAATCGTTACAACCTTATGAACCGGTCGAGGGAAAAGTTACTTCCGGATTCTACCTGCAGCCACCTGTCGTAAAATCTGTTCCGACCTGACGATGCATGTGTCGACATGTTGCAGGAAACGAAGAAGAAGAAGAAGAAGTAGTGGTGGCGGAGGAGAAATACCGCCGTGGCGGCAAGACGACGAGCCACCTTTTTCGTCGAAAAATTTGGAGAGCGAGTTTAAGAGCCGGTTTATCCGGATTGAAAACTGCAGCTGTGATCCTGCCATATTGCCTCAGAATGATTAGAAGAATATTTTTCGGATGCGAATGATATTATTTTATTTACATCTTTCGTTGTCTTTTTTTTCTTCACTCCGAAAAAAGTAAAATTACGTTTTTATCTCGGTTTTCAATAATATGAGGATAATGATTTAATTATACATCAATTCTATATATATATATATATTATAATTTCATATAATAATTTAATTTTTTAATCTTTAGATTTTTTTAATTTTTGTTTTAATTCGGAAAACTGTTTCTTCGTCACTTTTTAAATATGAATATTTACAGGGAGTTAAGACTAAAGAATATTAATATTAACAATTAATAAGTAATAAATATTAACCCTCCGTCACACACCTTAGAAATAATTACACCATTACACATGTTTAGAGGGAATCTCTCACCACATTGTTAAATAAGCGACATATTACAACATAAACGAAGGAATCAACAAAAATTTAGTTTTAACACAAACTTACAAATATGCAGTATGTATTATAAATTATAGAATTAATTTTCGGTCTCAAAAATAAAAATTAATTACACGAATGCACATCTTCGAAGAAATTTCACTTTACATGTAAAAATAATATAGGTAACATTAACAAATAAAGAAAAAAATCATTAAATAATTCATTTTAATTATATTTATAATATAATTTTGTCATTAACCAACAGTGGAACAAAAAATGTTTTGAAAACTTCATTTTTTAGGGTTCCGTACACCTACGGTGTACTGACGAAACCCTATTGGTGAGACTCTTGTGTCCGTAGCCAAATCGTGCCCTCCCCCTAGCGGTTAAACTATTTGACCTAAAGACCTCAAATTTGGTCCAGATATGTATTTTCACTCGTAGATTACAGGAAAAATGTAGCGAATGTGATTGGACGTGATGGTCATAGCGTTGTCAAGGAAATAACAAGATTTTTGGCCAAAAATGCATAAAAAGTGACCATTCCCCCCCCTTAACTTCTAAACTATTCGACATGGAGAGCTGAAATTTTGCATGCTGGTGTATTTTTACTCGAATATTACAGAAAAAATATAGAGAACTTGATATGTAAGGGAGAGTGGGGCAAGTCGGGGTACCGGCCCTATTTAACAGACGAATTAACCAATCGCGATTATATTTTACATAATACTGCACCGAGACGATAGTTTCTTGTTTACAAAACCTAAAAGCCATGAGAACAAATCTTTTATCTGTTTTACTAAAAAAACTGTTTTCGACGATTTTCTTGTCATTTTTTCACTTTTTTTAGGAGGCGTTTATTATTTAATAATAACAGTAAATGAACTGTATAAATTTTTTTCTAACTGGCAAGGGTTACAGAAGAAGGGAAGCATATGTTTTTTTTGTTGAATCGTAAATTGTAGTAATTAACCTTTTTCTTCAATTTCTTAGGTGGGGGCAAGATGGGGTAGGAGAGAGTGGGGCAAGACGGGGTACACAAATTAAGCAAATGAAAAGAGAAGTTAAGAAAACTACTTAAATCAAGACTGAATAAAATAAAAGTGGCCAAAAAGAAAAAAGTTTGTCAGGTAAAATCATCAATTAGCGATGGTAAAGTGGAAAATACACCTTGTCTCTATTGCAATGGTTATTATTTAGACTCAAATAAAGGCTGGGCTGCTTGTTCTGTCTGCGGCCAATGGGCTTTGAGCAGTTGTGCTGGTGTCGATGTCAAAGATAAAAATGCAACCTTTACTTGTAAAATTTGTCGACAGAAATAGGTTGTTTTTTTAGTACCCCGTCTTACCCGCCGGTGGGGTAAGATGAGGAGATTTGCAATTTTTTGAATATCATTAATTATAAGCTTTTTTAAGGGGTTACCCCCACTTGCAACTTTGAAAAAATCGATTTTTCTTTTATTGCATTTTTTTGAAGCATAAGTAACTGAAAGTATGTCCTGAAAATTTCAAGTCAATTCCAACAAAATTGACTGAGATATGAGCTTTGAAAGAGACGAAAGAGACTGATATATACTGATTTGTATATACATATATGCATCGATAAAATGAATATCTTTTTTTTAATTACCACCATGACTTTTCAGCCTACTTCTGGAAACCAAACTATTACGTACTCCCACTTACCGGAGTTGATTCTATGTAACTTTACAAAAAAATTATTTTCTTCGTCGAAACTGAAATTGAAACTTTAAACGCGTTTTTCTCGAAATGGCATTTCTGAAGACGGTGACCAAGATTACTCAAACACTAATGAACCGATCTTCTTGAAATTTTGCAGGCTTATTTAATACATAAAAATGTAGTCTTTAATCGTTCGATTTTCTTTTTCAAAAAAAAATGTCCGTTTTATAGTCAAAAAACGGACGTTTTTTTTCGTTAAAATCGAACTTTTAACTTAGACTGTCAGCCATTTTGTGAAAAATAAATATTTTTTTAAATCCTTCGATTAAAGACTAGTTTATACTCATATTTGACTAAATTTATCCACATTTTTTGATTCCGATGATTCACTTCGCCGCAATGTTGGTCACCGCAAACCGTATAAATAAAAATATTATTTCGTTGACGGCAGTTTGACACTTAACTATGTAATATTTTTTAACAAAAAAATTACTAAAAGTTCTTTAATATGTGTTCTTTAAGATGATATAGTTATAGATTAAAAAGGTTTTGTAGTTTTCTTTAAAAAAATTCATAAAAAAGGCTTATTTTTTTGCGCTACAAGTGGGGGTAACCCCTTAAGAAACAGATGGCCTTTGTACGCCTTTTTTTACGAAAGACTGATTCCCAAAGATGCACTGAGAAAACTGGAGAGTCAAATTCAGAGGTTCAAAAAGTGTATGTTTCCTTTGCTTATGAAGAGAGTTAAATAGTCCTTCTAAAATAAATTTTGAATTGATAATGGAAATCTACTTGTATATTCTCTCCCATTATATCTGAGGGTTAAAAGTTGCGCAGAAAATGTGTACGATCTGATGCGCGCGATATTATTTTTCTGACATTTTATGTATTTAATTTAGGGGTTAGGTTGCCATATTTATTCATTTCGCGCCGGATAAGGAAGGGATTTCTCAAGATGGTTAATTTGTCCCTCTGTTAGAGAAATGGCACGAATATCTGTCAATGGTGTATTTGAACATTTAGATTGTTATCCAATAGCTAACTCTCAAATATCAACGATTTGTCCCTCCAGATGTTTAGTCCAATACTCCAGTTTTCTCAGTGTGATAATTAAAAAAAATAATAAAATATATATTTGATAATTTTCGTTTTTTTGCGCTTTAAACCTTAAGTACCCGTCTTGCCCCACTCTTCCGTAATGATGGCCATAGCGTTGTCAAGGAAAAACTAAAAAATTTTAAAAAAAAATTTTTTTCCCTAACTTTTACATTATTTGACCTAATGAGCTGAAAATTGGTATACTAGTCTATTATTACAGTCTGACGCCAAAAAATTAATTTAAGAATCTTTTTAAAAAATTAAAAAAAATTTTTTTTAGTTAAAACACGTGGCATTAAATATTTTAAGGAAGAGTGAAATTTTAAGAGAATAAATCTAATATTGTAAGGGTCAAAATAAAAAATCGACAATATGTGCCTAACTTTTTAAAAGAAAATAAAATCTTTGAAATGTTGAAAAATTTGTCTGTTTTGTTAGTTATGTTCTAAAATATGTTAAAAATCATAAAATGCAAGATCAAGGAATACTTATTAGCTTAATAATATTTTTTGTAGTAATCACATATTTAACCTATTTCAATATGATGAAATTACAAAAAAAAGTTTATAGTAATAATTAATTTTTTATTTTTAGTTAGTTTAATTATTGAGTTACTGAATTTACCTGTTAAATAATAATAACATATTACTTAGCGTGTTAATCGTTTTAATATGAATTTCTGAAACTATTTTTTGATATCTAACCAAATAGATTTTAGAAATTTTCTTTCTATCTATGTAACGTCTGACTTCACTCCTAACAAAAGATATGTCGGACGGGACACGATGACAAAAAATAATAAACATGAATTTTTATTTTTGTTATTATTCGAAAACTTGAATTTAGTTTTAATTGTATATTTACACAAATAATATACATATACTAGAAAAATTGTTTATACATTAATTACCATTTAAAAATGTTCGCCTTTAAAAAAAAACTTGTGGACACGATGACAAAAAGAAGATGTATTTTCTCATTATTATCAAAATATCATTTTACTGATTTTTAAATTGATTTTGACATTTCTTTATGCTCACGTATTATCAAATTTATATCGTACTTCATTTATTTCATAGTTTTACAACTTTTAATTGTGATCCCAATTGGAAAACCGGTAAATATGTGTGTGAGGACACGATGACATTAAAAAATTTCAAATCTGGGGACACGTTAAAAATTCTTTAAATTTCGCATTTAGTGTTATAAAAAGTCTCACCACTTTCCTATATTACACTTTATACATTGGAGAACACGTACACGAAGAGAAATTTTATTTTATATAATAAAAAATTAAATTAAAAATTTTTTTATATCGTAAAATGTATATAGGGACACGGGACACGATGACATTTTGCACATATTTTTACTATTTTGTACCTGTTGTATCAATAAAAAATTAAATTAAATAACCAGGTATTGTAGATAAAATTATACTCTGTAAGATAGATGTTTGTATTTAAAATCATGAATTTTTAACAACCAAATTATTATTTATCCAGGACAAGATTTCAACGATTTTTTGATTTTAACCCAACAATAATAAGTGGAGGAACTAATTTTGAAAATTTTGTTCCTCTACTTATTGTTGTTTACAATATTAGATATACAGTAGGATCTTTCAATAGTGCAGTTCTGAACAGCGCAGTCATTAGTGAGTTGAGTAGACAAGGGGTTTCGGGGGGTAAAGGGAAAGGGAATCTATGACGTGCTGTCGCTCATTTGATTATTCAGTATCATTTAGTAGTGCCTGGTATTTAGTAGTGGGGGATCCTTAATTTTCTCGACACGGACCTGAATGTTTTAGGTTTTGCTTGCTTCGAACAGTGCACAATATTCCCGACGACTGCACTATTGAAGGATCCTACTGTACAACACTTTAATTTTTTTTAGTTATTTTTTTTATCAAATGATTTTAATAATTTTTTTAATTGTTTATTTTAATTCTACCAATTATCGATAAATGTTGCAAGTATTGTTTTAATATTTTTGTACGGAACCCGCCATTGCAGTGCGAGTACAACTCGCACTTGTCCAATTTTTTATTTACTTAACATAACCTCACTTTTTCGAGTTTTTTCTGGCTTTGAAGCCTCATAATTAAAGAATTATTATGTTTAAACTAAATGTTTTTTTAGAAATGTGTTGAGGAGGAAATTTTCAAAAGGTATAGAAACTGATTTTATTTTGCATGCGCAGCACTTTTCTGTTACAGTTACACATGCGCAGTAGTGTTCTGCTACAATTACACATACAGTAGAACCCGGTTAATACGATCCCATTTAATACGATTTCCCGCTTAAGACGCTCATTTATGGTGGTCCCTAAAATTAAAGACATATATTTTATTTCCCGCTTAATACGTTTTCCCGCATAAGACGAATTTTTTGCGCGGTCCATACGAAATCGTATTAACCGGGTTCTACTGTATTTAACTACACTCACAAAAATAATCTATTAAATATAAAACTAATTTTCCTTTAATCGTTAGCAGAAATAGTTTTATTGTAAAAGGCATCTTTTAAATATAAAAAGGTTAGAAGTTTATTGAAAAAAAGAAAAACGTTTGAATATTAACTGATTTCTTTTGATTTTTAATGAAATCCTTTTACGTCAAAAGGATAATTTCACGTGATTAGACGTTTGTAAACATATCAAAATAATAAAATAATAGTATATTAAGCAACAAGGGTATAAAGGCAGCCATTTGTTTATGGTGATTTTTGTGATACGAGTGGAGGTCGAGGGCGCTAGACCCTGGAGACACATCGCATGTGCGTTACCACGCAGCCACTGTGACTAGATGGTAACTTACTAGGGGCTTTTCACTCAAGAAATTTAGAAATCAGAGATATTTGATTTCCTCCGTTTCAATAACATTCTCACTGATTCTCATGTTGATTCCTAAAATTTTTTAGGGATTCCTACACGGAAAAAATTCCGGGACATTAGATGCGCCAAGGACAGTGTCAACAGCAGTTAAGAAAATTTGACACAACCTGTACATCTGACGTGCCGATACTTTTTCCGTGTATACTCGTACGTCGCGTCAGTTGTCGCGTACCGCCGATAATATCCGAATGACTCCGAAGAGAATACGAAGTGAAGTATCAGAAAATGTGAATGCGCTACACAGAGACGATTTCTACGTGATTCCCAAAGATTCCCAAGTATGGCTGTCAGATTTCTAAATAATTTGAAAAGATTTTTGAAATTTCTGTAACTCGAAAATAAAGAAAATCTATGATTTCTTGTGTGAAAAGCCTCTCGGTAACTTATCATATTTACAAGTTTAAGAACTAAAGTTCTATTCCGATTGTGACCAGAATTTCTGGTCAGTGACTTGTCAGAAGTTCTGCTCCCAAAGGGGAATTGTTTTTATCCAGTGAAACTGTCCAGTCACTCATTCAGGACTGGCCAGATTGTTTTGGCAAGTAAAACTCGCTCTCTACTCTACAGCTACTGGTAGGAAACAAATAATACTTGACAAATTTCTACCTGGGTTAAAGATAATTCCTTCATGTTTTATAATAATTAAAAAGGATCGAGTGTTAAAATCATTATTTCATATATAAATTATCTAAAATTTAAACTAAAATTAATTTTCAAATCAACTTTTATTAGAAAATTCTATAAGAATTAAATTATTTAAATACAAAAGTAAATTATTTATTAAATAATTGAATGTTTCTTAAAATTTAATTCTTATAAAGAATTTTATTAACAAATTTTTAAATAACACCGGCACACGAAAAAAAATTTGGATTGCCAGGATTTAGGTAGGTAGGATTTATGTAGGTTTTCTTCCTTAAGGTGTATCTAAAGAGAAAAACATTGTCCGACCTAAAAGTTAGTTCGTGTTCTCATTTTACAGGCTTTGTGGGGGGTGAAGTTTGAGAAACTGATTTTTATGGGAATTTACTTATTTTCTATAAATAAAGCTGAATTTTTGCTTCTTATGAATGTTTTTTTGAATTCAGTGTCTTTAATAACATAAGAATTGAATGTATAAAATAAAATAAAAATGGCGGATCTAAAATGGTGGATTTAAAAAAAAATTGTTCAGATTTCTTTGAAACTTGTTACTCGGGGGTTTTTGGGGTCGCTGATTACGAATCTGACATCAGATTTTCAAAATTCAAAATGGCGGATCCAATATGGCGGACGAAATTTTCAAAAATTCATCGTATTTACTTAAAACTCGTTACTTAGGGGTTTTCGGGGTTGTTGATTACGAATATGATGTTAGTTTATAAAAATTCAATATGGCGGTTCCAATATGGCGGACAAAAAAGAACAGATTTTTTAATTTCTATGTCTTGAGTATCTTACCCTCTTGGTTTCAAATGATTTCCGGAGAAGAGCTCTTTTTCTCTTCTTTGAAGTTTTAGTCTCTGGTTTATCTCTTTTTAGCGTCTAACAATAGTCCGCTATCATATTCTTACTCCATTTCCCTTGTTAGCCCATGATAAATGTTCAAAATGTGATCAGAATAAGAGAAAAGTAATTTGAACGATTAAAAATTAAGTTTAAGCTAAAAGTAAAAAATTATAAGTATTGGCCATCTCTCCCGCACACATGTGGCAATCTCACCAGGACATTCCGGGAGACCCAGGTGCGATTTTTTGGTCGGCCCATAGTTGGGCCAACTTTTACAAAGTCGGTCCAACTTCTCGTGCCAGAGGTTGGGACAACCATACAGATGATAACGGTTCGCCGTCTAATGGCGACGATGGTTGGCCCGACAACTCATAAGGAAGTTGGCCCAACTTACAATGCATATGTTGTGCCAACTATACATTTCAATGGTTGGTCCAAAGACTGACGCCAAAGTTGGCACAACTTTAGATGCGTAAGTTGGGCCAACCACAATTTTCAAAGTTTGGCCAACTTCAACAGCCAAAGGTAAAAAATTATTAAAAAACTAAATTATTTAAACAATTAACAGGTTATTATTAGCGGGAACATCACACTGAAAAAAATACATGAGACATTTTCAACTACATCCCCTTAGTAGAGTAAAAAGTAATAAAACGAACTACTTTTTTAGTTGGTCTGGCTACTTTTGATACTTATTTTAACTGTTTTATGTAGTTAAAAATTATTAATTAAATTAATGTAATTTTATAGTTAACTTTGTAACTGCAGGTATGTTACAGAAATGACTACAGAAAGTAGTAGATTCTACTACTTAAAGTAGTTCGATAGACTAATTTTGTAGTAGTTTTTACTTCTTCTAGGAGTTGAATTATTTTCCATGTAATTTATGTTATAGATTTTTATAGAAGATTATTAACTGTGAAAAGTTGTAAATGCAACTACTTTAAGTAGTAAAATTAACTACAGTTATCAGTTGAACTGTGTCAGGAATGCCTTTAAGTATTAAGCAACTCATCGTAGCGGGCGAGCGTGGTTAGGTGGTTAGGTTATCGGTTTACGAATGTTAGGGTCGAGCGTTCAACTCCCGACGTTTAGAGATTTTTCTCCGTTAGGTATATAGACATTAAATAAATAAGGTATAAGTAAACAAAAGTGGGTAGGGGGAAATATAAAAAAATACAACTCGATAATATTTATAATAAATTATAAATAATTTTATTTTACCATTTTCAGTAGTTACTTTATTACTGAGTTATCTTAGTAACTTTAACTACATATCAGCAGTTAATTCTACTGCAAAACTGTCATTGGTTCCTATTTAACTAAGAAAAGTAGTTAATGCAACTGTATTATCACTTCATTCAACTACATATCTGATAATTAATGTAAGTTCAAAATTATCTTTGGGGACTTATTGAACTAAGGAACGTAGTTAAAAAGTAGTCAAATCTACTAAGAATTTTTTTCAGTGCAGATATAACCTTTACCTATTATTATTAAACACAATCTCATACATACATTTTCGAAAATATCTAACGCTCGCTGGGATCGAACCCCTAACCTAACGCACAGAAGACTTATACACTGACCACTAAGCTACGCTCACATGGGAGTGCATAACGCAAAATGTATATTAAAGGTGCAACAGTCGGGCCAACCGTGGCCCAGAGTTCGGCCAACCAAAAAAGTTTAAGTCATTTAAACTGCATTTGACAAAGTTTTACCAACCGTTGGGCCAACCGTGGCCCAGAGTTCGGCCGACCAAAATAATGTAAGTCAATTAAACTGCGTTTCACAAAGTTTTGCCAACCGTCGGGCCAACCGTGGCCCAGAGTTTGGCCGACCAAGAAAGTTTAAGTCAATGAAACTGCGTTTCTAGAGTTTTGCCAACCGTTAAGCCAACCGTGGCCCAGAGTTCAGTCGACCAAAAAACTATAAGTCAATTATACTGCTTTTCTTGAGTTTTGCCAACCGTCGGGCCAACCGTGGCCCAGAGTTCGGCCAACCGAAACTGAAAGTCTTTTAAACTACGTTTTGATGAGTTGTGCCAACCTTTGTCGCCAAAGTTGGCCCGACGGTTGGTTAAACTCTGCATTTAATGGTTGGCTTGCAAAGTCGGGCCAACTGTGGGCACTAGTACTTGCAAAAGTTGGGCAAACTCTGGCAACCAAAACTTCGCTTGCCAAAGTTAGGCCAACCTTGGGCCAACCTTCAAACTCTGGCGGCCAACCTAAATTCGCACCTGGGGAGATGGCCAAATGCACTTTTTACAAAATGTAAATTTTGAGATTGTTCCTATGAAAATATTTTATTTTATTTTTCGTTACTTTAAAGTTATGTGTGCAATGTTTAATTATCAATATTAGTTTAGACATAAATCGCTTCTTTATAATTTTTACAGTACTTTAAAAAAACTATATAAAAATAAAAGAAAATAGAATTAACAAAAATATTAATGAAGATATAAATACAAATAAAAGAAAAAATAAAACAGGAGAGAACATTTGTTGTCAAATAATCATGAGGGTATATTAATAGAAAATTTCCCAACAACTCTGGTAGAACAAATTTTTATAGTTATGATCCTTGCCGGGTTATTATCGATAATGTGCTACGCAGTAGATGCGCGCATTACTTGTAATTCAACTTTAATGTGAGATCAGCGATTGATCGGTGCAGTTCAACATTTTGCTACTTCGTACCTATAAATATATATATATATATCCATTGTTTAATGCCCACGATCGTTAAGTTATATTTTTTCTCATATCAAGACTCACACTTTATAGGAACAATGAAAAAGGGTAAAAAATAAATTCAGAAAATATGATATATTAAAAAAGGCATTTAAAAAAAATCGGAATAGTTTCGGTCCCATTTGTGCGAGACTTATATACAATGTATAATATTTATACTTTGTCGGCATATGGCGACGATGACTACGAATACCAGCCCCACGAACTTTATGGTGTATACAATAATTCATTCTTGAATAATTACACGTCCGACCATTATCTCAGTTGGTCGCGAGATTCATATATACCGTGTGTGCATTTCTTTTTTTGTGCCTCTATTTTTTGGAACCCCTGTGAGTTGATTTTTTTTACCCTGAATTTTTCTTTTCTCTCGGCCACAATTTTGCTCGAGACGAAATTTTCCCTTTTTATTTTCAACACGATGAGTTTCATTCATTACGAAATTGCAAATGAGCTCGTCCGATTCGGCAGTTGGATATTATAATGATTGGTAGAATTTTTTTTCTCTTTTATTATTATTATTATCTTTACTATTATTATTATTTTTATTATTTTTATTATTTTTATTATTTTTATTATTTTTATTATTTTTATTATTTTTACTGTTACACGGAAAAAAAAAGTACGTGAATTTTTCATTGACTCGGTACTTGACTTTTGGATACGACACAAAATACTAAAAACAGTCTAGTACTTTTGCATGAGAGTTTCAAAAGCAGTCAATGAAAATTTCTAGTACCTTGCTTGAGAATTTCATTGACTTTCAAAAAAACTGTAAAATAAAAAAAATAATTTCCACTTGTTCACACCGTTTTTCTGAAATTCACTCATTCATTCACATATTTGGATAATTAATCACACAAACAAAGAACAATTATTGTATCACTTTTCGACGTTCGTCAACACTTATGAACTAACCTATAACACACACATATATTCGCGTATAACTTAAATATAAACACACACTTAACACTTAAAAGTACGTATCGAATTGTTCTTATATACCACATGGTGACATTTTTCACGACTTCTGAGATATGCTATTTCACTGAAAACTGAGACTTACATAACATTCTGTTTTGTGAGAAACACAAAACAAAAAATATTTTTTTGAAAGTCAATTCTTGAAGACAAATATATATTAACACTATTTGTTTTTCATAAAATAATAGTATATTCACATCTGAAATTAACACAAATGGAAACAGACGATCAGCTGGCATTTACCTTGGGTAGAAACGCGCAACGCACACTGCGCATGCTCTACAGAATTTTCAAGCGCAGTCAACTAATCTTTCACGTACTTTATAAAACTGAACAAATGACTTTTCGTTAAAATTTAAAAAACACTGTTGCCCATACTAGTACTAAAATAACTCTAGGACTTTTCTATATTTTCTAATAAAAAGTATATGATACAGCCTTGTACTTTGTGTTCTATCCAAAAGTCAAGCACTTTCAAGGAAGGATTCACGTACTTTTTTTTTCCGTGTATTATTATTATTTTTAATACTTTTATTTTTATTTTATTATTTTTGGAGTAAAAAAAATTATCAAGAGTCATAAAATATCGGTGATAGTTAAAAATAGTCGCACTTTATTTATTTACAAATAACGAGTTTGGAATTAATTTTTCCAGTAAATAAATTGATTTTCAAAAGTTCGGTTTAACCTTCGCGCTCCAGAGCGGTCACCCGGGATGACCAAATAATGAAAAATGTTGTAAATCTGCTCGACTTTTTCATTAATCGAATCGCGATTTTAAGTCACTGGACAAAATTTTATCTATAAAAAATGAATCATTATTTAAACAATTTTTAAACAAATTATTGTTGTTATTTACTAGATTTTTTCTGAATACACCTAGTCAGTAGCAGTTTTTTCCTAATTTTGCAATTTACTAAACCTTATATGATTACAAAATACAATTAATAAACAAATTATAAATAAATAATTCAATTTTTATTCTTTATCTGTAATCATATAGAATTCAATGAATTGCAAAATTGGGAAAAACTGCAACTTTCTGCATTCTGTAAAAAGTTGGTAAATAACAACAATAATTTGTTTAAAAAATAATTCAATTTTTATCTGCAATATGCATAAAAACATTATTGAAATACAGTATTTGTATTAACACATAATTATATGGAAAAACTTTGATAAATTTAAATCGTTTTTGGAAAATAAAAATCAAAAAGCGTTTGGTCACCGCAGGTTACCGCATCGGAGCCCGCTCTCTAAATCTGAATAAGTTAAATTTCACTTATTTTAAGTGAATATTCACTTATTCCATGTTTCAAAACTCTTCCACGTAGAATAAGTGAATATTTACACATGAAATAAGTGAATTATATTCACTTATGAATAAGTGAATTACATTCACTTATGAATAAATGAATATTCAATTATGAGATAAGTGAATACTCAGACATTACACCCAGAGAAATGGTATATTTGTCTCAGAACCAACTAGACTTTTTATTTGTTTTAAATAAATTTTATTTGGTTTAAATAAAATTTAATTTGGCTCAAATATATGTTTTATTTATGTCGAATAAAATTTTTATTTAAAACAAATAAAAAGTCTAGTTGGTTCTGAGACAAATATACGTTTATTCAACCCAAATAAAATATATTTGGTTTAAATAATATTTTTCTCTGGGTGTAAGAAGTGAATGTAAATAAATAATCAGGATCAATATTATATAAAAAAAATATTTATTTACTATCAACTATTTAACACTCTCTTCTCTTCTCATTATCAGTCTGAAACTTATAAACATATCAATTTTTCAACTTTTTTAAGCTAAATTCCCAAACGGTCACCCATCCTAATATTAACTGCAAGCAATGTCGCTTAACTTTTATGATCAACGAGAAACACTACAATGCCACTTAATAAGTTGCCTTATACTCATAGAAAATTATTGGGTGATACTTATAAAGAGTTAGTTTATTGTGTTCTACTTTAACGTTTTGTTTAAGATTTCTCTTATTACATATGTATATAAATACTTAGTAAATAAAAAGTTAGTTATTAGATTACTGTTAATATAATATTTAACTGAATATTTTTTAAAAAATTTATTAAATTTTAAATGACAATTTTTATAATTAAATAGAATAAAAAATTTCTAATATATTAACTAAAATTATAAAAACATTGTTTTTAAACATTTAAAAGTTGGTATAAATAATAAATTGTAATATAATGCGCAGATGAATTTCTTTTTAACTAAATATTTCACTTATACATAAGTGGGGATTTCACTTATTGATAAGTGAAGACAAGTTCACACATAAAAAAGTAAATATTTCACTTATGTATAAGTAGATTCTACTTATTAATAAGTGAGAAAAAGGTTCACACATGAAAAAAGTGAAAATTTCACTTATTCAGATTTAGAGAGCGCGTTATAAAAAATCGTTGGTAGGGCGAAGGTTAAGAAATAGTACTTTTTTCAATGAAATAAGTTCAATTATAGTAACTTTCACAATTATTTTCTAATTAAATAATTTTTTACTCATTATTTCAGAGACTTGCCTCCGAATTGGTACTCATTGACGTGAATGAAAATTTAGCGAAAGCGGAAGCTGAAGATTTGTCACACGCTGGAACTTTTATTGGCAGTCCAAAAATTATTGGCACTAAAGGTAGAAAAAAAGTTTTTTATTTCAAAAATAAGTAGTCAACCAAAGAAATATGCTTGAATCAAACACATTTTTTTAATAAAATTTAATTATTAATTTTTATTTAATCCAAGTTATTATGTGTTGTATCAAAAGAATTATGTTTAATCACAAATTTTTATTTTCTCAGTGTAATTTTATTTTCTAAATATTTTTAACATTCCTTACATTAGTTTTTTTTGCGTTGAGTTAGTTTTATTATTTATCTACTAAATGTGTAGTAAATATATATTTTTTTAATATCTAATAAATATTTGGTAAGTATATTTTTTTAATTTTCTCTTCATGGAAAATTGAATAGATTACAGTTGGGCAAGAGATGCAACTGTTTGTGTGATCACTGCCGGAAAGAGAAAAGAAAATGGTCAGGATCCCAATGAATTGCTTAAAGAAAATTTTGAAATTTTTAAGTCTTTAATACCAAATGTCTGTAAATATGCACCGAATTGTGTACTCGTTATTGTCACTACTCCAGGTTAGCATATAATTAAAAATAAATTATAAAAAAGAACAAAAAAACAATAATTAAAAATAAATTAAGAATAAAACTAAAAAAAATTAATATAATAGAATAATAAAAAAACCGTAAATAAAAATAATAAATAACAATAATAATTTTGCTTCTGGTCAAACACTTTTCAATTCCAGTCGACATTTTGACCTTCGCTGCAATGAAATTTTCCGGATTCCCACCAAATCGTGTAATTGGCCTCGGTACATTTTTGGAGAGTTGTCGATTTCAATATTTCATCGCTCAAGAATTGAAAATTTCAATGAATTCCGTTCAAGCATTAATTATCGGCGAAAATAGCCCCAGTTGTGGTACGTAGACTATTTTTTTCAAAAATTGCGAAATATAAATTACAGAAGAAAAAATAAAAATTTTTCTCAAAAGAATTAAAAATTTAAAAAACGACTTATTATATTCTTTCTGTATTTTTATTACTGCGTTAATTAATTTCTTTTCACAAAACTATAATATATTATAATTTACGCTCATTATTCTTGTTTATTATTATATTTCTTTTTTTATTTTTTAATACAATTATATTTTTTCTTTTTAACTACAATTATATTTAATCACCGTTACGTGGAACTAATTTTGACTGAAATATTCTACAGTAAAAAATAAAAAAAAATATTTGTAATTGAAACCTTCGCTTTAATTCGCATATATATATATATATACAGTGCCCGTCTGGTCAGCGGTTTCCGTAATGGGAGTCAAATTGAAAGACATCAATAAAGAAATTGGAACGGAGCAGGATCCCGAAGCATGGAACAAGATTCACGAAAATGTGATTGGCTGCAATGATCAATTGTTGGCAAAAAAGGGTTATTCCAATTGGGGTGTTGGAATTTGCGTTGGTGAAATTGTCGACGCCATTGTACGAAACACTTGCATCTGCATTACGGTGTCGGCATTCGTAAAGGTTAATAAGCACCTTCCTCCACAAAACTTTAATTTTACAAAAATGTCTCACAGCGAAAAAAAAGAGAAAGAAGTGAAGTTACGTTCTGCAAACTTATAGGCGTGTCCCAAAAAATTTTTTGAGAAATTTTTGTATGCAGTCTTTTCCGTGAGGAGCAACAATTCATCTTAATCATTCACGTGCGCCTTTTCCGTTTGTTTGCGACAGGTGGAATATTTATATTTCACTCGAAAACGCACGAGGCACTTTTACTCTTCTTTTTTTTGAAAAAAAATATTCTTTTGTTTTTTTCACTTCTTTTTCGCTTTTTTTCACTTTCTCTCTAGTTACTATATTTTATATTTTATAAAAAATTATTTTAATCCTTTCACTTTTCGTAGTTTGGTTTTTGCAGTCTCCCAATGGGAAATTTACAACTGGCGTAGTACTGCGCCAGCACTGGCAGCACTGGCGGCAAGGCTGAGAGCCAGCACTGGCATGGCACTGGGATGATAACGCCGTCTGGCGCTGCCGAAGTACTGTCTGTCAGTGCTGCCAGACAGCGCTGGCGCAGCACTGGACCAGTGCTGGCTGAGAATATTGCCGCAATAAATGCCGTATTGTTATTAATTAGTCGTAAATTCATAATTATAAATAATTTAACAACAAAATGGTAAATAATATTAATAAATAGTTATTATTCATAAAATATTTCTCTTCTTAAAGAAATTGTATTAAAGATGGAGACTAACAATGGATATAGTAAATGAAGTAGAAAAAAATTGTTTATAACATTTAAAAATTAAATAATAAACAATTACAGTAAGTGTGCATTAGATTTTCATATTTTAGTACCTAACGATTGGAATCTAGAAATATCGCAAACCCATGAAAATAAACAAAATTGCTGACGAGGGGAATCGAACCTATGACCTACGGACTAACAGACTAACGCTCTAACCACTATGCTAACGACACATGTGTACAGTAAAGTATTAATATCTCAGTATCATTCAGACATACAATTATTGAGTCAAAGATGAGAAAAAAATAGGGATACGTTAGAAATAATAAATTGAAATAAAATAAATTAAACTAAATTTTTAAAAATTAAATTACTTTACTTATTGCATTTAACATTTTACGTAATTCTTAAATTACGTCGTAATTTTTTAATAATTTTTTATTCATAGTAAGAAGTATAATAGTATTTTAATAGAAACCAAATTATTATTGAGATTAAAGTTTAAATTTTGTTTATAATTTTAATTTGTTTAAATAATTTATTATTTGCAAAATTAGACAATTGTGTTAAATTGTTATTATTAAATTTAATAAGAATAAAAAATGAACAACAACTTTTTTTATAATTTTTTTCAAGTTTATGTTAGAAAAGCAATGTTTGCAAAGAGCGTTGTGAACAATTTTTCTATACTCAGCCAGCACTTGCCGCCGTGGCTTGTCCAAGCTTTGGCGAAACAAAAATTCTGTACTGCGCCAGCACTAATTGTCGAGGCTCGGCTAGACTACGCCGAACAATCGTCTGAGTACTAAGCCAGTGGTGAACATCGGCACTACACTGGCATTTCCCATTGGGCTTAATCTATTTTATTTCGAATAATTAATTATTGATACAGGGTTGCCACAAAAAATTAATTTTGTTTTTCCCTGATTTTTCCCTAATTCCCAGGCAAAATTTTGTCTTTTTCTGTGACCCTAAAGAATATTATGATTCACGCTAAAAATGATTAAATACTCAAAAAAAATGTTCTATTACATTTATATTTACAAATTTCTTCAAAAATAAAATTATTAGAAAACATCAATAACTTCTTTTTTAAATAACTACACGGAAAGACTTTGTGTTTCAAAATTTAACTTGATCATGTCAAACAGGGGAAAACGATGTTTTTATGTTATTTAATCGTATTAACGTATCAACACAGGAAAAAAAAAGTCTGACTCCGTTTACACCTTAAATTCAGCCCATGTATTTCACATAAGTCTGTCCTTGTTTAACGGGGCTGACTCCGTTTACATCATAAATTCAGCCTCAAAAAGAGGCTGAAAGTAAAACTTTTTTTTTAGTGTGAACTATTAATATGGTTTATACTAAAGATTGGCACGGCCCATACTAATTTTTTGTATTACCTTGTTAAAAGCTGATACGTTCGTACGATTAAATAACATAAAAACATCGTTTTCCCCTGTTTCAAATGCATCATATTAAAGTTTGAAATGAATTCTATTAATTTTTGAAACAAAAAGTTTTTCAGTGTATTTAATTATTATTATCTTTTTATAGAAACTAAGATTTTTAAAAAATTCAAATTTAAACTTTTTGAAATTCAATAATTTTTAAGAATATTATTATAAAACATGAAGATAGCGATCACTCCAAGTCGAATACTCCATAAAATTTTTCAAAAAAATTAACAGGGTTACTACAAAAATTTAATTTTGTTTTTCCCTGACTTTTTCCTGATTCCCAGATAAAATTTTGACTTTTTCGCTGACCCTAAAAATATTCTGATGATTCACTCTAAAAATATTATTAGATACTCAAAAAAATATTGCAACTATAAATTCAAATTTTCAAAGATTTTAATTTGAATCCTTTTCAAAATTCAATTATTTCTAAAAATTCACGCTATAATGCTTTTAATATTTAATTATAATTTAAAATTTTAAGTGAAATTCATTTTTTAATCAATTTTTTATAGAAAATTTTTCGAGAATTCAATTATTCAAATACAAAAATATTGTTTATTAAATAATTGAATATTTCTTAAAATTGAATTTTTATGAAAAATTTTATCAAAATTTATAAAAATAATAAAATTCTTTTGGCAAATTAAAAAAAAATTAAGAATAAATGCAATTTTCTATCATTTTATTTAAAATTGTATTAAAAATATTTTAAATTCTGCGATAAGTTTTGTTATTTATGAAAATAATTGAATTCTTGCAAGGAATTTTATTAAATTTTTTTTTAAATAATTGAATTCCTGTGAAAAATTTTATTTTTGAAAAAAATGGAATTCTTGGGAAGAAATTTATTAAAATTTCTTAAATGATTGAATTGCTTCGAAGAATTTTATTTTTCACGAAAATAATTGAATTGTTTTGAAGATTTTTATAAACATTGTTGACAATAATAAGTGTATTCCTAGGAAGAATGTTATATTTTACGAAAATAATTGCATTCTATGATAAATTTTATTATAATTTTTCAAATTTATAAAGCATTTTATCAACATTTTTAAAAATAATTGAATTCTCGAGAAAAATTTTATTATTTATGAAAATAATTGATTTCTTGAGAAAAATTTTATTCAAATTTTTTTAAATACCTAATTGAATTCCCATAAAAAAATGTATTATTTGCGAAAATAATTGAATTCTTAAGAAGAACTGTATTGAAAATAATTTAATTGTATAGGAAAATTTTATAAAAATTGCAATTTTATTAACTAAATCTTGTAAAGAATTTTGTCAAAATTTTTTGAAATAATTGAATTTCTCAGAACTAATTTTGAAATTTTCATTAAAATTTTGTTTAAATAGGTAGTTAAATTCTTTTAGAAAATTTTATTTAAATAGTAGATATTAAAAATAATTGAAATAAGAAGAATTTTTGAAAATGATTGAAATTTTGCTAAGAATTTGATTAAATTTTTTGAAAATAAATGAATTTCAGAGAAGAATTTTATTATTTATAAAAATAATTAAAATTTTAACGAGAATTTAAAAAAATTTTTGAACATAATTAAATTTATGCGAAGAAGTTTATCACTTCTTTTGAAAATAATTGAATTTCTGAAATCAGTTGTTCTTTAAATTTCTATTTAAATGCATTAAAAAGTGATATTTTCTAAAATTTCAAATTGAAATCTTTGAAGTTATAATAATAATGAAAATAATAATAATATTTTTTCGTGTCTAAGGGTTGTCGACATGGATTCGAAAAAGATATTTTCACATCCCTGCCCTGTGTAGTTGGCAGAAACGGAATTCAATCGTTCATTCGTCAAAATTACAATTCAGAGGAACAAGAACTTATGACAAAATCTTGCCGTTCAATTTATGAGGCGCAAAAACAAATTATGGATAAACTTGAATAAATTGAAGATTTTCAAATCCTAATTAAAATTAATTTTAAAAATTTATTTTCCAATTTAAAAAAAATTATTTCAAATAAATTGTTTGTAAACAAAAAATTGAGGAACTATGAGCAAATAAAGAGAAAGAGAAATAATAAATAAATAATAATAAAAATATATATATATATATATATATATGTGTGTTACCGGCAAAACCCGAAGACCAGGCATTTCTCGAAATGCCTAAGATTTTACGAAATACCCGAATTTCCTAGAGATTTACAGGCAGTTCTTGAATTGCCTAGGCATTTCGAGAATTGACTAAGTAGGCATATGTTACCGACAAAACCCGAAGACCAGGCATTTTGCGAAATGCCTAAGGTTTTAGAAAATACCCGAATTTCCTAGAGATTTAGAGGCAGTTCTCGAATTGCCTAGGCATTTCGAGAATTGACTAGGCGATTCGCGAAATGCCGGGACCGTTTTTTTGCCTAAAAAGGCTTCGTCATTTCGCGAATTACTTAGTCAATTCAAGAAATTGATTAAATAATGGAGTGTAGAGGAGAACGGGGCGAGGCAGCCAAGACGGCACATTTTGGTTTGCGAGGCAGTTATGTAAATAGGTTTTTTCAATTTTAATATCGCGTTAGAAAGCTTATCTTTTTGGCTAAAAAATCGCCATAGAAGATTTTGACGTAAGTTGCACTTAAAAATGTCTACAACCCTTTTCCCAACGGACCACATTTTGGCATATTTAAAAAAAATGTGGGGTGAGGTTGTCCTTAACTTACTTTTATTTTGTTAGTAAACTTCAAAAATTTACTTTTGAATAATATTATAATAATAAAATTAATTAAATTCAATTTAACATTTTAAGGAAATATAAATTTGTTATTCTTAAAAAATGGTTTATAAAATTCAATTTTAAATTTAAAATGTATTGGAGTAGAAAAAAAAGAGAAAACATTTAGAAGAACCAATAAAAACAACACAAAAAGACGAAAAATTTAGCGTTGGTTGCCTAACCCCACGAGTACTTTTTTAAGAAAACATTCACAAAACCCGTAATATTAAAAATATCGCAATTCTATTAACACCATCGTCTTCGGCACTAAATTCTGCATTGAAATCACTATACAAGAATTTTATTCGTGTAACTCTATTAACTAAAATCACCAAAATAACTCTTAGAAAAGTTACATCCAAAAAGTCTGTTTTCATAAATGATACTGTCACTGTTAAACTGCTGCAGCAATAATTCTCATCTATTAGCAACTAAAGTAAACTACCATAAGCAGTCTACATTATCAATAGCGCACGATTTAAAAAAATTATGCAGAAATAAGAAGCAATTGGCTGCCTCACCCCGTTCTCCTCTATATTTAGATTTAACTTATATTCTTATATTTTTTGAATAAACCTAAGTTCAAAATTAAACGTAAAAAAAAATTTGTGTGAAGAGGAAGATAATTTAATTATTTGTTAATTAATATTGTTTATAACAATTGAAATAAATTATTTTATGCTTTATTAATGGTCTGATGGCCATATTAGATTAATTTGAACTGATTTAGATCATGTGTAGTAACGGAATAAAAAATTAAACGTCCCTTTTTAAAAAATTGTATTAATTTGGAGTAAGAATTTTTGAAACGTGCCACCTAATATTAAAAAAATTTATTTTTCGCCAAAATGTTGTCTTTCCTATAGTGTTTTATATAAAAAAACACTATAACAAAGGATTTGAAAAAAAAAATTTTGTTATTATTATAAACAATTAAATTTTTTAGACTTTTTTTTAAAAAATTAATTTCGCGAATCGCCTAGTCAATAGCCTGGCCATTTTTGTAAAAATATTTAATATCAATGAGTGCCGGGCTGAAAAAGTTTCCTTTTCATCTAAAAAACAAATTCAAAAATAATAAAGTGAATGTGTGAATAATTAATAGACCCAAAAACTGATTGAATGTGAAAAAAGAGATTTTATTGGATTTTTTCAGTAATTTTCAATGTTTCTTGAAAGAAAATGGTTCTTTTCTGTATAGCTATACCAAAAATATAATATGAATTATGTATATTATATATAAGAGACTTCTTTGCCTAAAATTTTTTTTTTAAATTCAAAAATTGTTGAAGATACGCCATTTCTAATTTTAATATTAATTTTATATAATTTTGAATATCTCGGAATATTGTTTGTGGATTTTTCTAAATGTTTCTTTGTAAATATTTAAATGTGGTAAATATTTCAAAACTCTTTGCCATGTCAAAAAACGAGATATTGTGGTTGACATCTTTTATTTTTAACATAATTGCATGTAAAAGTTAAAGTTTGAACTTGAATATCTCGAAATTTAGCATCGCAAAGGGTTTTGAAATTTTTACCACATTTAAAGGGCACCCGAAGAGATATTTTCTTAAAATTTAACGAAATTCTATGGAAAAACAATTTTTCAAAAGTAGCAGCCAGAGGATTCGAATTTTTTTTAAGCATCGACAAAGATTTTCTATGGTAAAAACATAGAGTTATTAGAATAGAGTGCGCAAGCGACCAAAATGTTTCTTAGGCGCATAGACGGAGACAGCCATACGAAAAGAAGACCCCTTTCCTTTCTTTCTCTAATAACGCATGCGCGATAGTGAAACAGCTGATGCATCGAAACAACTGTTGCTTGCTTGCAATTATATTTTTCTTTTATTTACATGACAAATAAATAATTTAAAATAAATTTAAAATTAAAATAAAACATTTATAATATTCAAAACAATTTTTCATGCGATCTTTTAGACAAAAACCTAACCAAAAACTTTCATTCTTGCACATGCGCCAATAAACAAGGTAAGAAAAGGGGTCTACTTTCATGCTTTTGTCTCTTTCTATGCGCCTAAGAATGCCTCTCACGGTAAAAGGTATAACTCGCGCACTCTATTCTAATAACTCTATGGGTAAAAAACACAGAAATTTTTCAAAAATTTTGGAACCGTACCAAAACAGGCCGACAGTATTTACTAAACAAGAATCAAACAATACTTTTCCGAAGGTTTTTAACGTGATAATTCCGAATCCAACGTCATAAAAGACCCTGTACGTCAAGTTTTCGAGGTATTTTAACTTAAATGTGCAAAAGACCAGTTTTTTTCATCTTCTGCGTATTTTCGGTGCAACTTAATGCGAATACGATGTCAGATTTACAAAATTGTTTGCCATATACGATCTGCAGAACCATTTGACATTTTGATGATTGTAGTTAAATTCTTCTATATTATCGAAGTTTTGTCTATTTCTACTCAATTTTTGTAGAATTTGACCGACTCACTAACAAATGAAGATTTTTCAAATATCCGAAATGAGAAAAATCGAAAACTGAGATTATTCAAAATTTCATATACCGATTTTTTCTTTTTTGTCTTAAGGTACTACATACTACACTTTAGAATTTAAAAAAATTTTATTTTTTGTTGTTGTATTTTTTAACTTCTTATGACTTCAGAAAACACCTCTCAAAGTAATTATAACCAATTGTAAAGAATAAAAGTAAATTTTTCAAAAAATATTCAAATAATGTAAAAAGTCATTGACAAATTAAGTAAGTCTTTAAGGGGATGGTGGGGTCCAGCTTTTTGTTACGACCAGTAGAAACATTGGTGCTAATGTATTTAACAGTGTCTGAAATAAAAAAAATTGTGGGGTTTCAATTTGCAAAAGAATTTTAGGTAATTTATGGATGGCCTCTAACGATACATATAAGTTTAGACGCGTTTTTCTCAAAATAACGTTTTCTCAAATTGCGGACAGTTTATCTCTGAATCTACTGAACCGATTTTAATAAATGATAACTCGTTTTGTTTGTTAGCATGTCTTGTGTGAGAATTTACTAGAAAATGGTCAAAAAATTAAAAAAAAACATTTTTGCAGACTAGAAAAATACTGAAAAACATAGTGTATTTTTAAACAAATTATTGAAACATCTGCTATTTTTTTATTTTAGTCGATTTTTCATTATTGGTGGTAGATTTCTATGCAAGACACCTTCCTTTTTAAAAAGCAATTTGGATTTTTTGTTTCCGATTTGTCCATCTTGAGATAAACTGTCCGCAATTGGACAACTAACTTTTTGGAGTTTCGATCTGAATGCTGTCTGCAGATTATGATATTAAATAAAAATTAAAAACAAACCATTATTTTTATTCTCCAAATATGTACTAATATAGGCAAAAAAGTTTTTTAAATATTTATAATAAAAGACCTAAGAAAATTTTTTTTTTTATTTGGTCTTTTAAGAGCCTTCTAAAGTGTACTAGTACCTTAAAATTATTGTATGGCTTTACTGAAACGATACAAAAAAAATTGGATGGGCGAGAACTTTTGGGTTTTTATTTTAAGCTCACCTTGTTGCTGCAGCTAGTCAAAAAAAAAAGTTTCACAAAAACTTCAATATCTCCGGAACCAGATGAGTCTTCATCAATTTTGTTTTATTAAATTAAAGGTGAATTCATAAGGATTCCAAATATGTTAATTACATTTTTTTACATTTTTACAGAGAGGAGTAAATATTGAAAAAATTTAAAAAAAAATTTTTTATTTAAAAACTAATTTTTTATTAACATTATTTTTATTTTAAAGCACACATTTTTACCTTAAAAATGTGTAAACTTTATAAAAATCCATAAAAAATGGTCCGAGATATTCAAAACTTTATGAAATTAATATTAAAATTCAAAATGTCAATAAAATCTCTTTTTCTTTAATATTATTAATTTTTTGGGTCTATTAGTTATTTATAGATCAATTTAAGTATTTTCGTATTTGTTTCTTTAGGTAAAAAGGAAACTTTTTCTGCCCGGCGCACAATGATATCACAAGATTAAAAAATGTCTTAACAAATCGCGGCCAGGCTACTACTATCCGCGAGAAAATGATAGGCCCCTGAAAAATGTTCGAATTTGATTTGAAATATCTCTGTTAAAAAAATTATTTGAAAAAAATGAGACATATTTTTGGCAACTGTGGAATCTCATATATTTGTATACGAAAGGATAATATTGAAA